GTCATATTTTATGTTGTTTAAGAACGATATTTGCAATGAATAGGTTATTGGTCTTTTAAGATTCTATCATGTGCTCTCTAGTATAATTTCTATCACCAAGGCCATATTTTCCACCTACGGATCCTTTCTTTCTGTTTCCAGTTTTTACATTCCAATCACTAGTAATTATCAATTATCAATACATCTTGATTGCATGTTTTGAACCTTTTGGTTCACAGTCCAGTGCTGATCCTATGGCATCACGCCAGAACTCATCTATTCGAAGGTGATAATAATAAGTATCAATAAGATTTTTGTGAATCTTAAATATGATAATGATACCTATAAAAAATATACCACAATATCAGCATGTGTAGAAACTAAATAGATTTTACTGAATACGTTTCTCTCCTATTTTTTGTGCTCTTCTTACTCACCCCAATACTTATTATTCCCTCCAAACACACACACACACACACACACACACACAAGCACATGAAAATTAGTTTAAATGAATTAACCAAGCAAAGCCTTATGTTATTGATGATTGAAGAGGAAATGGCAGGCCATTCCTGTAACATTGTCCAAACCACTAAAAGAGATTGAGAGCACTGTAGCTATAAATGTGGCCATCTAAGGAAGGCAGAGCCCAAAGAAAGCCAGAAGATGAGGGAAATCTTGTCAAGACTGGTAGACAAATCCAGAGCAGGGTCAAGGAGAAGCTCAAACCAGCTGTCATCCATTGCCACAAGGACAAACAAACCTCCCTTTACACACTAGCTAAATTCCACAGTAGAGAGAGATGCTTCAGGAGAAAAGGCTTTCTTGAAACACTAAAAATTATCACACAACAAAATCCGAACTCTGTTTAGAAAGATTAGTAATTCATCAGATTGGCCTAAATTTTAATCTGGTTTGCACAGTTAAGTAATCCCCTCCCTCTTCTCCTTTCCCTCACTGACTAGGAGATGCATTCTCAAGAAAAAGGCCTTATCAGTTGCAGAAAAAAATGTTTTTCCTCTGCACATCAAAGTTACAAAAGAAGTTAAAATTTATAAATGTTATATGTGAAAACTCTGGAAAACCTAAAGAGCAAACTAATTTAAAATATGATTATTAAACTCACTTTTGCTCTTTTTGTATTTTTAGATTGATATCTTCAAAGTGGAGTTCTTATGTGGTGCTGTAGCATAAACTGGACTGTTAACTGCAAGGTAGGCTGTTCAAACCCACCAACTGCTCCTTAGAAACACAATACAGGGTCACTGTGAGTCAGAACTGATTCACTGACACTTAACAACAGTGTAACAACAGCTTTAAAGTAAGTTTGCTATCTAACAGTGTATAGTGATGTTTAGCTATTTATTATAACTTGTGAAAACCAGTTTTTCATGATGAATTATTAGGATCCAAGAACTGTTACATACTGATTCTTATTGTTAATGATTAGTCATATTTTCATTCCTAAAATGATAGAAAAAAATTATTGATTTCTAAAGGCCCTGATTTGTTATCTTCTTTCACAGTATGTGAAACCAGACCTCTGGAAGTCACTTGAGTCCACACAGTATGGGGAGTCTCTTCTCTTTCTGCTTATACAGACCTTTAGAGAACATGTACTGATCCCCGTTTTGAATCTACTACTGATGCTTTCCCAAGTTCTATTGTCGCCTTCAGTTTGTTCCTCCATCTCCAAATTGCTCACTTGTTTCTTCATCCTATTTATAGCTCTATTTTTCTCCTACACTGTTGGAATGATTTCCAGCTGCAACACTCTTTCAAATATTTCTGAGGCGGGGGAGGACCTCCTCTTCTACAAAAATAGCCAACCTAAAAGCGATTCATTTCATTGTCCAGGCCTTTTAACAATTTAAAAGAACTTTTCATATTATTCATGAGTCTAAACTTATTCATCCATATAATTTCAATTTTAAGCTTTTAGGTTAAGGGCTACAATTTCCCAATGACATTCTCAGGGCTAGGTAGACAGACTGTACTGAAATTGGTGTTGCTTCTTAAAAAAGAAATGCTAGCACTTACTTCACCTTTTAACTGAGGCTGCAGAACTAAAGAATTAGGTTTGTATTCTGAAAGGTGGGAAGGATTCTTAATAACTGCTTTAAATGACAAACTACAGTAGAAAGTGGATTTTGCACTAATGGATTTCTGCTTAATAAAATCACACATTTATGTAAATCAATACAGGAAAACCATTAGGTGTGGGTGTACTATTTTTAAAAGACTTTCTTGTTTAGTTTATTCTAAAAGTAATGTGTGGTTATTATGAAAAATAACAGAAAAAAAGAAGAAAAATCCGACATACTCCCACCACCCAAAACAATACTAGTGTTAAACTTTGTTGCTGCTATTTCATGCATGAAGTCAGTCCCGACTCAGAGTGACTCTATATCAGGTTCCCAAGGGCAGTTAGTGGGTTTGAACTGCTGAAGTTGGTAATCCAGTGCTTATCCTGGTTGACAGTCTGGTGCTTATACTACAATCCCACACCAAGGTGAATATTGATACTCTTTTTTCTTAATGATACTTGGTTTGTTTTTTGTTTTTACCTTTACTTGTTACTTTTTCTTTGTCAAAAACATTATATGTTGTTAAGTGCCATCAAGTTGGTTCCAATTCATAGCAACCCTACACACAACTGAAGCAAACACTGCTTAGTCTTGTGCCATCCTCACAATTGTTATGTTTGAGCCCATTGTTGCTGCCACTGTGTCAATCTATCTCACTGAGGGTCTTCCTCTTTTTCACTGACCCTCCATGACATCCTTCTCCAGGAACTGGTCCTTCCTGCAACATGTCCAGAGCACTTGAGAATGAAGTCTCTTCATTCTTGCTTCTAAGGAGCATTCTGGCTGTACTTTCAAGACAGGTTTGTTTGATGCGTTTCCGCTGTGCAGAGTAGGCCGGTTTGTCCGGCTCATGGCGCCCCCTGGGTGGCCCTTGGGCCTCAGTGCTACAGCCAGACCTTAGTACCTAACATGGAGTGGCAGAATGAGGAGCAAACTCTCGGGGACCCCAGCGTGCGGTCTCCTGGAGATTCAAGGTGTCAGACCCCAGCTAAGGCAGGGCAGGAAGAAGGAGTGGGGTCAGAGGTGGCTACCTTGGGCATGGAGGCGGACCGCACGAGCGTGGACGGGCTTTGGGAGCTCCCTGTGGAACCAGCTGAGCAGAGGCCAGAATGCAGCTACTGCAGCTGGCCTCAAAAAGTATGCTTATGTCCATTTCTACGAGTACATCCATTACACATCTCTACGCATTTGTACATAATTCAGCGTCCAGCAGACGAAAGCAAACAGTTATGGACAGTTCCTCTACTAGCTAGCTGCCTACCCCAGGAAAAGTGTAACGTCAAGATTGGTCATTGCTTCAGTGAAGAAAGGGATCTTGAACTTTCAGCTGTTTGCCGAAAACCTTATACATTAATATATCCAGGGGATGAAGCTGCTAATTTGAATGAATTTATATTAGATTCTCCTGTTTATCCTTCCACAATTATCATCATTGATGGTATATGGAGCCAGGCTAAGGATATTTTCTATAAGAATTCCTTGTTCCGACTTCCCAAATAGGATATATACCTCATAAGATATCAGCTCAACCAATCTTACCCTCTGATCAACCATCAGCACTCATGGAAGCAGCAGTCAATAAATCAAATGATGCACTGCATTGGGCAAATCTGCTGCACAAGATCTCTTTAATGTGGTTGAAGAACAAAGAAGTCAGTCTGGGGACTAAGGTGTGCCTGGCCCAAGTCATGGTATTTTCAGCAACCTTATATGCATGCAAAAGTTGGACAGTGAATAAGGAAGATTCGAGAAGGATTGATGCATTGAGTTATGGTTTTGGAGGAGAATATTAAAAGTACCATGGACTGCCAAAAGAACAAATAGATCTGTGTTGTAAGAAGTACAACCAGAGTGCTCCTTGGAAGCCAGGATGGCCAGACTTCATCTCTCATTCTTGGGACTTATTATCAGGAGGGACCAATCCCTGGAGAAGGATATCATGTTTGGTAAAGTGGAAGGTCAGAGAAAAAGACGAAGACCCCAGTGAGATGGATTGGCACAGTGGCAGCAGCAGTAAGTTCAAATGTAGCAACAATTGTGAAGTTGGTCTAGGGCTGGGCAGTGTTCCTTTCTGTTGTGCCTAAGATCACTATGAGTTGGTACCAACCTGATGGTATCTAACAACAAGAAGACAGCTGAATTATATGGTACCCTTATTTCTAACCTTCTCGTGGTTATTGTATAGTATTGTTTAACAACAATAATTGTTTTCCTGATTTCCTTTTCAGAGTTCTCTTTGTTAATGTAAATGAATTCAACTGATTTTTGTATGTTGATCTTATATGCTAGTTCCTTCTGTTAGTGATGACATATTTCTTGAAGAATCCTTGGGATATTCTGATGGGATCACATCATCTGCAAATAAGAATTGTTTTACTTCTTCTTTGTGAATTTGGATGCCTTTTTTGCCTTATTTCTGTAGCTAGGACTACAAGTACAATGTTAAATAAAAGTGATGATAAAGGGGGAAAAAAAGACAGGTTTGCTTGCTTTTCTGACAGTTCATAATACTCTCAGTATTTAGTGCCAACACCAAAATTCAAACTTAAATAGGTAGTAAAAATGTCTGCCTTGAACATTATGCTTTTTAAAGAACTATTTATATGGGATCAAATTAAAAACAGAAACTTGAAAGATTAGTTAGGAACTTTAGGAGACAGCGAGTTTATGTTAATGGCGAGGGAACTACTTAAATGGAGGGTGAGAATGGTTGCACAGCTCAAAGAATATAATTAATGTCACTTAATTACATATGTATAAATTGTTGAATTGGTGTAGGCTTTGCTGTATATATTATCAACAACAATAATAAAATAATTTTTAAATGAATCTAGGAATTGGTATGAAGGTATTTTGTAGATGTAGTTAATAATTAAAGTCAACTTTGTTGACTTTAAACAAAAGAAATAGCTTCAATAATATGGATGAACCTCAATCAGTCATTTGGAGGAGCAAAATTTATGGTTTTCTGGTAAAATAGAAATTCTGACTCAGGATTGTCAGACTGCCCTATGGACTTAAGACCCAAGACTAGCATTAATTCCTGCCTGAGTTTCAAACTTGCCTGCCAGCCCTATGGATTTTAGACTTTCCAACTCATGCAATCACATGATGCAAATAACAAAATAGATACCTTTATCAAGCCATCGAGGCTAGGTCAAATGTATACTATCTACAAGTTTGGGCATTCCTGTACATGTCCTCTCACTTCATATGAGCTGGATGCTTTGCTCTCAGCTCTAGCCCTCTGTGACTATATCCTTGTCGATGGGCTCAGGAGTCCCAAGATCTCACCACACTTCAGACCAACCAGACTTTCCTCTTCTCTCTCGCATCTCCAGGTTGAAGGGAGTCTATGGAACATGGTCAGACTCAGCTTTGGGGCCATTTTTAACACAATAGAAAGCAAAAAAATATTTAAAATATGACACTCAATGAAAGGACACTCAAAATCTCATTTGACCTCTACTGGGAATGGACATTACATGACTCAAATTTTTGGTACTCTGCACATGCTCACAAATAGCCATGAAAACAATGCAAATATTGGTTTGGGGGTTAAAAATAAATTTTAGTGAGTAATCAAAAGGAGAACCTGATTGGTACATTTTCAATGGATTTAGGACACACGCTAACCCAGGATTGTTTTAAATTGCGATCCTTACATTAATTATATCTGCAGAGACCTTTATTACAAATTCTTATAGTTGGGATTTGTACCTACCTTTTTGGGAAATGGTGTTGAGACACCTTATTGAATCCTTCTTCCTGTAAAGATTTTTTATAGTGCATCCATGCTCTATATTAAAGTTTAAAGTGTCCTAATGGTGCAACAGTTAAGAACTTGGCAACTAGCCAGAATGTTGGCAGCTTAAACACACCCAGAAGCTCCAGAGGAAAGCTCTGATGATACGCTTCCATAAAGATACAGGCAAGAAAAAGCTATGGACAGTTCTACTCTGTTTCACAGAGTCACTATGAGTAGAATTCAACTCAACAGAGTATCAAATAACAACAAAAACATTTCATGGACTGTATTTGAGTTATCTGTTTCTATTGATTGGTCTATTTCAGGTCATATTTATCCAAGTATTTAAATTGAAGTCTCACCATCCCATCCTGATTTTATGTCCAAAATAAGTAAGTTGAAGGCTCACTCTTTGTGTTTCTAAGGAGTATTCTGGTGGTATTTATTTCCAAAATTGATTTGTTCATTCTTTTGCAATGTTTTCATGACCATTTGTGAACATGTGCAGAGTGCCAAAAATTTGAGTCATGCTAGGTGCATTTCCAGTTGAGGTCAAATGAGAAGTCCTTTAAATGGTTTAATTGAGTGTCATCTATTCAATACACAGTAAAACTTGTGAAAGTCAGAAACTGTATAAGGCAAAAATGTGTCAAAGAAGGAAAATTCAAGTATTTTTCACTAACACGAGTGATAGAAAAGTGTTAAGACTTCACCCTGTTAAAGGTGGAAACTTTGTGAGATCTAAATCCACAAGGCCGTCCCATTTAATTCTGGTTCTCACAGGTTTCACTGTACTTATCACATGGCCCAATTCATCACCACTCATTAATATTCTTTTAATATATTATTTATTCTTCTTACAAAGTTTGTTACATTTTATGAAGTTCCTTCCAAAAGATATCTCACTGGAGATTTTGGATAATTTTGTTAAATTATTTTGAAAAAATTTATAAGCTAGATAAACCTGGAGGAGCTGGAAATCAATGGAACTGCTTTGTTTTTCTTGTTCTGCAAGTTTTTATCCTTTGACAAGGTGCTGTCTTACTATTCTTCTATTGCTTATTTTAGTGGAAAAGAGTTGAGTTTTCCTCAGGTTTCATCTTATGTGTTTCTGGATTTCAAAGATTTTTCTGCAGAATGTCTTCCTTTTATTATAATTAATTTTAGGTCATTTGGTAATCTTTATAATTTTCTTTTTGTAAATTCATTTATTTTTCATATTTTCTTAATAATTTTAGATTTATGTTGTTCATTTTCATGATCTGTCTATTTCTTTATGCTGTATAAACCCAAACTGAACTCATTGCCATCAAGTCGATTCTAGAGACCTTGTTTAGAATTTCTGAGGCATCTCTGGTGGGTTTGAAGCACCAACCTTGCACTATAAATTCTTATAGGAGCAGAAAGTCTCATCTTTCTCCTGAGAAACGTCTGGTGGGTTTGAACTGCCAACCATGCCGTTAGCAGCTCAGGGCTTATCCTGCAGCACCACCAGGGTTCCTATAGTCTACTTAATTATAGAACTACAACAGAGAGCTAATAAAATGCTTTCCCTTTTAAATTATATTCAGCCTTATCATTTGTCCTTTTATAATTTTTTTTTCCTTTTATAAAATTAAATGACTTTTCTTTTGACCTTATGATATGGTGCCGTAGGATAAAACACTAGACCATAAGGTCAGTTTGAACAGCAATGTGGATTGTTCAAACTCATCAGCCACTCCTCAGAAATCCTATATAGGTTACTGAGTCGGAACCAGTTTGACAGCACTTAACAACAAAAACAACAACAATACCAATATAATGTAAAGCTGTAGAATAAACACTGGACTGCTAACCAAAATGTCAATGATTCAAACTTACCAGCTGCTCCTTGAAAACCGTACACAGGGTGACTATGAGTCAGAGCTGACGTGACAGTACTCAACAACAATAAGTTATGAAACCTGGTAGGATAAGCACTGGACTATTGACCAAAAGACTGGCAGTTCAAACCCACAAGTTGCTCTCAGAAACCCTATACAAGATTGTTACGAGTTGAAACCAATGCAATGGCATACAGCATTAATAATATAATACATGTATCCACATATGGTGAATAAATGCATAAATACATGAATATAGCCCCAACACACTTAAAAGTTTCTTTTTTATTTGTTTCATCCCTTTATATATTTGTTTGTTGTTAAGTACCTTCTAGACAATTCTGACTGATAGAGATCCTGTATAGGGTTTCCAAAGAGCAGTTGGTGGGTTTGAACCACTGAGTACAGTTGTTATCCTACAGCACCACATCAGAACTCATATTTTTAACCTCTTAAATAAGGAGTCCTGGGTGGCACTGTGGGTTAATGCACTGGACTGCAAGGTCAATTTGAAACACAAGATCAGTGGTTTAAGCTCATCAGCCACTCCCTAGAAACCTATATAGGATCTCTATGGTTTGGAATCTACTAGACCGCATACAACAACTACAATAAATATGTTTAATTGAGTTAAAAAGAGTTGGTGGTACAAACAATTAGCACATTCAGATGTTAACCAAAAATTGGAGGTTCTAGTGTAGTCAGAGATACCTTCTGGCAGTCTGCTTCTGAAAATTAGCCATTAAAAATGTTATGTGGCATGAAACTGTTTTAAAACAACTGGATAATGAAAGCAATTCATACATTGGACAGTAATAACTAAAGACCAGAAGAGTTGTGGGATGGCATCAAGAATATCATACATGAAGAAAGCAATATATCATTAA